TCTTCCTGTGTGAAGCGCCAGACCCATTCACACTATGAAACGATGATGATGATGTATGTTCAGGGCTGCATTACAACATTGATTGTTCGGATCACTAGTATCTAAGTCTTCCGCTGTGCTATCTTATATTTTGTATTGAAAGGTCGGTTCTTGTTCTGGTCTGCACTTATACGGTATGCAACATAAGAGAGGCCTTAGATACAATGCCTCCAAATAAGACGCCAGGCAGGGATGGACTAACAAGAGAATTCTGGCAAGAATACTGGGAAATTCTGGGAGGGGAATACGAAGCTTTCTTAAGCCAGGCATGGAACAACGAAGGCATGGGAATGGAATCCTCGACAAGGGTAGTTACCCTGCTGTACAAGAAAGGAAACCCCAGAGACATTAGAAACTATAGACCGATTACACTCCTGACACTTACACACCAGATAGTGGCCAAAGCATTAGCGAATCACTTGAGGCGGATAACAGGCAGCTGCTTTCACTTGGACCAAACAGGATTCATCCCAGGGAGATTCATTTTAGACAACGTGATGACCCTATCAGAATCGGTCAGGTACATAGCAAACAAAAGAATGAACGCGGCTATCCTCTTCTTTGACTTTGAGAAAGCATATGATCAGGTCAACTGGTCTTTTCTACAGCAATGTATGGAGAAAATGGGTGTAGGTCCTAACTTTCGCAAGTGGATAAGAGTATTATACAACGACTTACACGGTCAAGTGCAGGTCAACGGACACCTCTCGGAAAGATATAAAATGACCAGATCAGTTAGGCAAGGTGACCCATTGGCTGCCCCTATTTTTCTCTTTATCATGGAAGCCATAGCTTCATTCCTTAGAAAGGATCCTTCACGTGACCGACTTATAGCTGAACCTGACCAGCAGGGGCGTATTATAGAACTACCCACCACGATACTATTCGCAGACGACCTCACAGTTCTCATCAAGGCAACTAACTCCTCATTTAAGGCACTCACAAAAGCAATGGAAGCGTTTCAGTTGGCATCGGAAATGAGAATTAACTGGCCCAAAACGATAGGTTGGTGGCTCATACACGACCACCAGCACCAGCAGCCCCAACCCCCGGACCATGGAGGAATGGAGTGGCTGCCCCCACATCAGCCACTGAGGTATTTGGGGATCAGGCTAGCCGATGAGGGCCCTCATCACTCCATGGCTTCGGATCAGATGACCAAAATGTTAGCTAAGTTGGACGCATGGTCCAGTATCTATACCTCTCTGTTCGGGAGAGCCTTAGTTCTAAATGCTTTGATCTTTTCCATGTTATGGTATGCGGGCACCCTGTGGTCACCCCCAGGGCCCGCACTTGGGAAGCTCCAAAGGGTAGCGGCAGCCTATCTGTGGACAGGGAACCCGGCGAAGAACAACTTTATTTCCAAGGTAACTTGGAAACAAGTAATACAAACAAAGAATCGGGGGAGCCTGGGTATCCTGGACCCCGAACAGCAGATTAAAGCACTTCAATCGAAATGGATTATCAAACTGGTAACGCAACCTCACTTACGCTGGGTTCCCCTAGTATTGGAGCACATACGGGGGATGTCTAGGTACGCAACTCCCTCAAATATGGAGGGTACTTTTTGGATATTCTGCAAAGGATGGGCAAAAAAGGGTAGAGCAAGGGAACGGAGGGGCGAGGAGGGAATTTCTCAGGACATGGGAAGAGATATTCCCGGCTAGAGTACGGAAACCTAGATCTAAGGAGGAAGTCCTCCGACAACCCTTGTTTTGTAACCCCTGGTTAAAGGACTCCCAAGGAAAGTCGAGGACACTAACAGCTAGTGACACCAAATGGGGGAACTGGTTGGAACACGGGGTCTGGCAGATCAAGCATTTATGGTCCCAAAGCGACAATAGATGGAAAACGGGTAGAGAACTGAGAGCTACGATGAAAGGATGCCATAGGCTCACGGAAAATCTAAACGACATTCTAATCTCCATCCCACAACAAGAATGGACGCAGTTGTTGAGAGGGCCTTACAAATGGGAGTGGGGAGATTGGGCGACCTGGAGCA